GCGGCCGGTCGAGGTAGAGTCGGTCAGCATGGGGTTCACCCCCATGTCCTCCCGCGACGTGGACCGCCTCCTCGCCAGGATGTCAGAGGACGAGGGCCCTGAAAGCATGTGGAGTCGGTCGTCATCGCCCTCGTTGTCGTCGCCGCCGGCCCCGTCGGCCGACGTCGTCGTCGTCGTCACCGCCACCGCCCCCCTCGCCTCAGGCGAGGGGAGGCGGAGTGGGACGGGGACGAAGAAGGCAGGAGGGCGTGACACGGGTGAAGCTGGCAGGGGATAGGGAGGGGGATAGGCAGCAGGAGTGGCAGGGCGAAGGCAAGATGGTCCGAAAATATGGCCGACCGAACACAGAAGCACACACGATATATGAGTCTATAAATATATGGAGACATGCACATGCAAGACGACATTGACGCTTCGCGCCGTGCACCTTGGTCCTTCAACTGTCGCATGGGCGAAATTAGATAGAGAGCGAGAACAAGAGAGAGAGAGAGAGGAAGCCATTCAATGTGTCCTTGTCTCCCTTTTCGCGCTCTCGTGCTCTTTGTGATCATTTCTCCCACTGTCTCCCTCTTTCCTTTTCTTCTTCCTCGTTCTCCCCATTCTCTGCGAACCCTTCCCCTCCCTCAGATGTTGCGTACCCGTCCTCATTTTTTGCGGAGGTCCCTGCTTCAGAAGGGGGTTCTTGCGGACCCTCGAAGGTTTTTGCCGGCTTGTTGGGGGTCTCTGGTGGCTTCCTACACGTCTGCGTGGGCATCTGGGTGCTCATTGAGGCCATCATACCGCCCTCCGCGGTTTCCCTCAACGACCAGGGCCAGATTTGGATTGCTTGTGGGAGTGTCTTTAAGCCATCTTGGGCAGTCTTGGAGAGAGGCGGAAAGAGAAAGAGAGAGAGAGAGAGAAGAGAGAGAGAGAGAGAGAGACATATGTGTATATATATATATATATATATATATAGATTTAGAGAGAGAGGGAAATAGAGAGAGAGAGACTCGAGGGAGCAGCGATCCCCGTGAAAGCACATGGGTTGCGAAGTACATGGGCGCCACACTTTCTGCTTGCACGTTTTTATTGCTGGTAGTCCTGGCATGAGAATCCCAGAAGACGCGTGATTTCATTTGGATGTTGGTGATGTTTTGGGTTTGTGGGGTTCAGAATCGTGGAGGGCCGCAGCGAGGATTTTCGCCGGAGGATGTAAAATTCTGAGGCGGGAATCTAAACATGAGCATCGCCTGGAGGATCAATTTCCGGGGACCTCGGCAGGCGGTGGATATGATCATATTCGGGCCCCCCGGGGGCCAAAATTCATCCATATCCGCCGCCCGCTGGGGCACCAGAACGTCGGGTTCCAGGCGGTGGATATGGATAAATCCCCGCCTCGTAAGAATCCCCAAGCCGTGTGATTTCAGAAGGGATCGCTTCTCCCTCTAGTATATCTATCTCTCTCTGTCGCTCTTTCTCTCTCTCTCTCTCTTTCTCGCTCTCTGTCTCTCTCTCTCCTCTCTTTCTCTCGCTCTCTTTCCCTACCCATCTGCCTCATGTGAAGAGGAGGAGGAGAAGGAGAAGGAGGAGCAGGAGCAGTAGCAGGAGCAGGAGCAGGAGCACGAGCAAGAGGAGGAGGAGGAGGAGGAGGAGGAGGAGGAGGAGAAGGCGAGCACAGAATAGAGGAGGGGGGGCAGCAGCAGCAGGAGGAGGGCCCGCAGGAGCAGGAAGAGGAGGAACATATGTAACAGGCAAGGGAGTTTCACAAGGAGGAGGACGCGTAACATGAGGAATCAGAGGAGGAGGGGGAAAAGGAGAAGCGAACGAACGGAGAGGGAGAGGAGATAATACCGCCGTCAAAATAGAAGAAGACGACCAGTGGGTGATGGGGGAAGGGGCTGCGAGTATGCATACGTATTTTATAATTACGCACATATATATATATATATATATAAATATATATATATATATATATTCACAGACATACATATACATATACATATCTATAATATATATATATATATGCGTGTGCAAGACTGCATTGGGATTGCGCGCCACGCACCTCGGTCCTTCAAGTGTGGCTCGTAGGCGGATGGAGAGGATCCACAGTAGATCGAGCGATAACCCAGTGTTGTCTTTTACTGCGTCGTCTTCATCATAATCGTATTCCGCTTCTTTCCCTCATGATTCCCCCCTCCTCTGCCGCATGTTCGACCTATTTTGCGACCCCGTCCCCATCCTCCACGGCCTTTTTGCGGAGATCCCTTCTGGGAGAGCCTCCTGGGGGCTTCACGGCAATTGAAAGAGCCCCGGGGACATATTCGGCATAGAAGAATGCCAGTGTTTGAGGTCCTGTGTGTGACACATACGCGGGAGAGCGACTTTCACCTCCACGCTGGAGACATGAAAGTAGTAGTAGTAGTAGTAGTAGTAGTAGTAGTAGTAGTAGTAGTAGTAGTCGTCGGAGTAGTAGCAGTAGAAGTACGAGTACTAGACGTCGTAGTAGTAGTAGTAGTAGTAG